TTTGACAAGAAAACCGCTGCATTCAATAGGTACTACTTCAATAGGTTATATACATATACCAACGATTTTTTTTAGTATCAACTGAACTAAATAGAACACGTATACTATACGATATGCATTTTTCAAATGGTTTTAAATTCATTTGTGAAAAAAAAAATATTCTGAAATAAAGCCAGTGTCCCAACCGCTCGACTCAAGCTAAATGAACCGTATTAGTACGGGAAAAATTTGATTTTGAGCTGTGGTAGTACCGACTCTTAATAATAAAGTGATGAATCTCGAAAAGTGATTTTTGGCAAATAGAGTTTTTTTTTTTTTTTTTTTTATTGTGACTCGGCAAAATGACTGCACCGCGCCTGATGGAGAGTGCGAATACAGTCCAGAGACGAGAGTAACGGATGGAAAACACAAATATCTTCACTCCGTCACTATCATTTTGCCGGTCTGGCCAAATGCCTCTTCACACTACGTTTGAAGGACCCGATGTTATAGAGGGTTTTATGATAAGTGACAGTGATACAAGTCGTGCTCCTGGAGGTAAGCGACACGTATGCCCATAGCAGTTGCTGCCATTGCGACCTAAGTTGACAATTCCGACGTGCCTGTAACCTTCAAAACTGGGACGCAGTAACGTTCACATTACTCCTTAGCGGTAGAAATAAGGTATACCTTCACCGGGCGAATTCTTTCACAAGGGACCATACTGCTACTAAAAATAGATTTCAAAGATTCGTGTACATGGCGCCGCCAGTCATTATTATATGTCATTTGACGAGTGACATATAAACGGTATAAGGCTGCTAACAGATTGAAGATAGATTTATTTGTGGAAGTAGGTACAATAAATTAATTGCTTATGTCCTACACTACGTTTGCCTTAACGTGGTGCCACTCTATAACAAGTCTAACTGCGTCGGTGGCCGAACGGTTCCTATACCGGACTGCCACGCAGAGGTCCCGGGTTCGATTTCCAAGCCGGAAGAAATATTTGTATGGCCTACATTTATTTCTCTCGTGAATTTGGGTGTGATTTGTGGTTGTCTGTTTGTGTGTCCATGGCACCCGCGACACAGGGTTTTATAACAAAAAAATGTCTGTTCCTTCGGCCACCAGCCCTCCTGCAGACATGTCCGGCCCACTTATTGAGCTTAGTGATTTTGCAATCTATGTCGATCACTTTAGTTCTCTGACTGATCACTACATTAGGAATTTGATCCACCAGAGAAAGCCCATACATATCTCGCTCCATCACACACTGAGCGATTTTAAATTTGTGGCTGAGGCTTGTTGCTAATGGCCAAGTCTCGGCTGCGTAAGACATAACTGGTAGAACACAGGTTTTTAAACTCGTGGGATTGACAACCCGAGGATGTGGCGAGAAAGTTTCTCGAATGTCGCTTATACTCCGTCCAACTATTTATTTAATTTTTGACAGTTCGAATTCTAATCAATTAGTGATGTCCTAATGCGTTTCTGATTCGATTTATTCGAATATAACAATCGATTTTATTTATGAAGAAGTTTTAGTCGTGAATGTGAGCGGGTTCAAAAAAGAAGATATTGTCTGATTGGGATCGTGATGTTGCGTTTGACAATTTGGTACACAAATTTATATTATTTATAATTAATAATTATCTTAATTATTAATAAATATAATTAATTAAGAATGCAAGTGTTGATTCCCATACATATGGAGAAGAATTCGACAATTCATATAATAAACAATAAGAATTTATTATAATCATTTGTAATTTATTTCATTTCATTATAATTTATTAGATATGTACCAACATTTATTAACTTGAATAGTCTTCGTTACATAATCTGTTGACCGATAAATATCGGAGCTAAAGAGCACGTCGCGTCACTGAAATAAAAAAATAAAAGGGTCCAGGAAGTATTGCATTGTTTTGTCTACGGTTGTACGTAAATAATTACGGAAATTCGGAGGCATGCATATGTCAAAAGTTAAATAAATGGTTGGACGGAGTATAGGCCTAAACGGATTCTCCTGTCGGCTTCCTTCTTAAGGTTGTGCTTATTTAGGCCAAGGTAGACGTAATTGTGCACAACTTTAAGGGTCGTATTCTAGAACTCTACTCAATGCTCAAGTCAGGACTGCACTGGAAATACGACCCTAATGGCAGGGACTTGAGTATGATTTCGAGTGCTTTAAACCATACTCAAATCCTGCCTTGAGCATTGAGTAGAGTTCTAGAATACGACCCTAAGGGTAGCCTCACTTATGCCTACAGGGTTTGGGGTCACACGTGGGTTGAACATAGCTTTCATTTTGTCCAAATTCATCCTGAGACCTGCTCGCTTTATTACCTATTATAATTAAGTTGAATTCCAGGCTAACTGCGTTGAGTCAGTAGATTCATATTTTTTGTTACTTAACTAAGTCATTTATTATTAACTTTTATTCTACGATAGCGTATTATTAATTCATACTTTTCGCCTTTAGAAACGAAAGAGTTATATCACAAAATTAGCCAGTGCAGGTGGGTAATCTGTTTACCTCAATGGGAGAGAACATGCGTGATGTATTTATGTATGTACTTTCCAACTTCGTTAACCGGTTACATCACGTTCAATTTGGCGTTTCGTCCCAGTATTAGACACGTATGATTCACGAAACAAACTTGCTCTACATAGCTCGCAATTAATGCGAATGAAAGTCGTTCCGTCACGATAAACGGTTATTTGTACTATGTAAAATTTGACCTATTTTTATATTTTCTGTTATGATTTTCATTGCCCCAAAGGTTGTATTATGTGGGCGTAAAAACCTCCCACGCTAATAACAGATAGTAGAATTACAAAGCTAGGGAAAGATCGCTAACTTAATTATAAAGTTGCGACATCTTGTATTTACTTTTGAGGGTCTGCTGTTTATCTTAAAAATGTCTATAAATTAGATATATATTTTGTTTATCTTTGTCAAGTACCCAATCTGTATCGTCAGATGGTGAATAATCTATATGATTAAAAATAAAGTCCTGCATAGTTCAATTGTGGTATCTTTTCATCAAAAACGTCAGCGCCTGATTTTTTGTCATAATGTTTTACTTTAGGCATTACTACTCTGCTGCAATCTGTATAATTATAAGGCGGGGTTTCTTAATTTGTGGTCCGTGGACCTCTAAGGGGTCCGTGTGATGATGGCTGGGATCCATGGCGAGCCTACCTAACATAACAAATGCATTAGTCTAATAAAGGCGCGCGCACAATAACCATATGTTGTGGTTATTGTGCGCGTGACCTACATTATAGGTACTGTGCGCGTGACCTTTTTGAATTTTAGCACCTGAGCAATGAACGAGCGAGAGTTTCTTGTCATTATTTTCTTCTTCTTCAGCGTTTCGGAAAGCGTCTTTTTGAATGATCCATAATATAATAGAAAAAGTTTACGAAACCCTGATATAAGGTCAAATGTTGAATAGCCACTATATACCTAACACTGTAGTATTGAAGAGTATTGTAATTGTTCTCGTCGACTCACGCAATTGAGACTGATGTCATCGTTTGATTCATCTTCAAATGACTACTGCTACGTATAACTATAAAATTGCAGCTAGTGTAGGCTACACATGATCAGTCGGACGGATGTGGTCAGTTCGGTCCATTTAGCACCAAGTTCCGAATTAAAGGCGGATCCATAACTGGTACGAACTCACCCCTTTACAAAATTGATAACTTGAATAATATAAATAGTGAATATTTGGACGTACATGCAGATTGTTTGCCTTTGTTTTTAAAATATATTAATATAAAATAGCATTTTGTTGTATAATGTTTCCAATAATATTACATAGTTAAGTTAAGTGTTATAAGTTCCTTGGCCATTTTTTTTTGCCTGAGGTTTTGTAATTAGTTGTGCATTAAATTTAAAACCACAAATTATTGTACGTAGGAAATAAGTCACAATGTAATAGCTGTTGGTAAACCAAATAAATTTAGAAAATAATAATAATGATGACGGCAGAATGACCTGTCAAGGGGTATCCAAGATGACTGATAGTATATCAATCTTGACGTTGGACTCTGTGTACATAAGGGTGCGTACGGATCTGGCGAATGCGCCGCAAATAAGCTTGTTTGCGAAAGGCTAGCTTGCGACAAGCTGCTCCGCACGAAAGGCTCGCACAGATAGAGGAAGTGAAGGGGTCTTAAGTCATTCTTTTTAAGTTTAATTTTAAATTAATTAATAATAAATATTTTAAGTTTTATTTTAAACTCATATTTTTTAATTCGATGTGTTCGTACCGTGAAATTTTTATTTATGGCATCAAGTGACGGGATGAACAAGTCGTGCGCCTGATGGTAAGCGACACTCCTGCTCATTTTTTGTTCACAGTTGAATTGCCACTAAAGCTGCTAACAGGTTTACTGCATGTTTGCAGTTAATGCGTGAAATCGTAATCAATTTCATGCAGCCGAGACCTCGACTGTATCAAGTTGTTAACGTCTTCACGCATTAACTGCATGCAGTTGAAACCTACTTCATTCAGTCGAAATCTTCGGCATGAAACTGATAACATGCATTCAATCTGTTAGCAGCCTTAGAACTTTAAATCGCAAAGATCTGTGGAGCACCGCCTCTAAACCCGTCACATCGAGACATAAAATTGACAAATCTCATGTGCCTATATCACCAGTACTCTTACCCTCCAAAACCGGAACGCTTGGCAACAGAAACAGGTATGGTAGTAGTACTTCCCTGGGCGAACTCTCTCACAAATAACTCTATTTACTAAAAAACGATAGGTTAATGTGTTACATTTTATTTCAACAGACCTAACGGCGCCAAAACTTTAGTGACATCATATTTGAAATGTTAAATCAATCAAACAACCACTGTATGCAAATAATTTGTTTCGTCTTCCGTACGTTTTGTTAAAACACCCATGATTTATAATCGGGTAACAAAACTTACTTATCTGAATAAGTTAGATGAAATAGAACAACAATAAATGTTTTTATATTTCTGTTTTCAGGTCATAGTAGACTCCCACAAGGAGCTTCGATGTCCAGAATGCAGGGTCCTGGTGGAGACGAAGGTGGAGGAGTTGCCTCCGAACGTGCTCCTTATGAGAATCCTCGAGGGTATGCGGAACTCTGCGCCGAGGAAACTTGTTGGCAACCAGAGAACGGCCAAAAGCGGACATTCACAGGTACAGTTCTTTGTACAAAGTTAGTTATGATATATTGGACATAAAATATTTCATTCGGATCTAAACTGCATATTTGTTTTTTCAACTCCGCAGTGATCTGTAAAGAGCTCAAAACGTTGGTTTGTTTGTAAAAACAAATTTCCTTTTCCTTTGTTTCATCACCATTTGGTACCTATATACTAAATCTATGATGAGATCTGTAAAGATCCCGGAACGTAGATTTAGAATAGAAACTATTTATTGCAACCCTAGATCACAAAAATATACAAAAAAAAGAATAAAAATACTAAGCATTAGAAAAAAAAATTAACTGCCGCCGTGGACGAAGGGTTGCTATGCTGGTCTGCCACGCAGAGGTCCCGGGTTCGATTCCCGGGCTGGGAGAAATATTTGTATAGCCTACTTTTATTTCTTTCGTGACTGGGTGTAATTTGTGGTTGTCTATATGTATGTCCATGGCATATTTTTTAGGTTATTTTTTTTCGTGTCTAAAATCGCTTACATTTGATTTTGGAAACAAATCAATGTTTCGGGTTCTTTACACAGGTTTGAGTGTAAAACAATTTAATTCAAACCTAACTACATTGCATTAAGATTTTTATTTAGATCTTAATTATATGTCTATAAGGTTTAAATTAAAATCTTCACGCAAATGCGATAGTTTAGTTTAAATATGTGAAAACTTACACTAAGTCCTGTTGTCGTGAACCCGATAGGTTGGTTTGTTTGAAAAAACAAGTAAAGTAGATTCGAAAAAATATTTTCAATTTCAATTATACAGTTCCATTCAGATGTTCTGTGTTGTAAGTTGGTCAATTATTATGTTAAGGGCCGATGTGGCCACTTATCTGTTACAGTCACACTATAATTAACTATTATAAGGTTGGTCCCTAGAGTCAATATTGATTCTGCCTTCAGAGTTCTATGAAATTTTGCGTGGGCTTGGTAATTTCAAACAAATTACCTGTATACAGATGTCCCACAGCAATGTGACTTCCCTCCAAGTCAAGTACTTTTTATGTTATAGGTACAGTTTTATTTTTAAAACGTAAGGAACTCGTTCAGTGAAGAAAATCTTTCATAAATTTCTCACAAATGGCGTTATGGCATAAAAGTCGTTGAAAACCAAAACAGAAATCTGCAACAAGCTCATGGAAGTATTCGTGAGGTCCGTTGGTTCCTTCCGTGGATTAGTTGGCATAGCGTCTGGCACGGTTTATTAGGAGACGTTGGATCGAATGCAGCCGGATCGAAGTTTAAGGGTCGTATTCCAGAACTCTACTCAATACTCAAGTCAGGACTTGAGTATTGCAGTGAGCACTGAAAATCATACTCAAGTCCTTGCCATTAGGGTCGTATTTCCATTGCTTGAAATCATACTCAAGTCTGCTCAAATCCTGACTTGAGCATTGAATAGAGTTCTGGAATACGACCATGAGTGTTCGATCTTTATTTAATAATTATACCAAACTAGTGGAGTAATTTCACAAAAAAGAAATTTTATATCATGGTGTGAAACATTCTGGCATTCAAAAAAACTATTACCTATTAGCATTCAAAGGTTTTGAAAAGGAGCTTACCTCACTTGGGAATTGAAGCGACCAATTGTATAAAAAAGCATCCTGTATTTTTATCGAAAGGATGAATTATGAGAATTAATTCTTTTTAAGTAAAACAGTATCTTAAATCAACAGGACAAATAGAAGTGTTACTTTCTAGAATGCGTATAGAATACAGAATCTATTGTTATTGAAATATATGTAATAAAAAAATGCAGAAGTCATAACTTTTAACACTTTTACCTCGGGATGAACCACTAGAGTGTACCACCGGTGTTCACGAATTACTTCCAGGCCGCTTTGAGAGAAAGAGCTAAAGTTGTTTCCGCTCTGTCCATTTGAAAAAAAATGGTGAACTTGCATTTGTTATATCGCACTGTTAATACAATAGTGTATTAACTCAAAAAGTGTATTTTTTCAGAATCGATGAAAAACTAATTGGTCATTTCCCGTGAAAGAAAATTAAATCTTATGTATAGGTTCACGTTTATTACAGACATCTAAACTTGTAAAATATACTTAAAAATAAAAGTGAAAAAATAATTTCATATATTTAAGTAGGGACTGTTTTGGCTAGAACTAGCTCGCATAAAGTTTGTCTCATTTTGAGCTAACTAGGTATTTTTTTACTTTTTCTCAAAATATTCTAACGACAGTTTTATTCAAGTGTGGATAATCCAATTTTACGTTCAGCAATGGTACAATCTTGAATTTCACATATTTTGAATTACAACACTGTTGTAATAGCAGTGCGATGTATTACTATTGTTGTTTTGTTTAATAAGGAAGTCTGATCTACATAAGAAGTACCTTCTCACTGCTAGGTACCTAGTCAATCGTTAAGTAGATCTGTAATTATGTAGGAGCGTGCTCGCCTACAAACTTTTTCTAGTTTGGAGGGAGATAGACTTCTGTAAAATGTATACTTTTTGAAAAATAAACAAATAAAAAGTAGTATAGCTCAAGAGATTGATATTGTGTAAGTGTAAGTAAAAAATATTTATTTAAAAAATAACTACTATTTTCATAGAAAAAATCGAGCACACACTAACGAATTAGCACACCGTCTGACAACACTTTTGGTTTGTGGGGCGGTGATGTCCCACCGGTGGTTATACGAAAATCAGTCCCGCCGGATAACTTTTTATGGTTATTTTGACCATAATAACAAAAAGTGTAAAGAAACATGCTACGCTTACAGCCATAAATGTTAGCGTCACATACTTCAATACCTCCCCGGATATTGGCTGCATAGCCTGAAGAAATACATGTTATATTTCGACAACAAGGCTTACGCCCAGAAAAGGTACAAATTTTCATTTTATAATCTGGCAGTGACTTAGTTTATCTGCTAACATATTAGGGTGTCATCCTCATCGACACAGAATCGGATTGAGCCGCTCAGAAAAATCATTATGTCGGTGCAACCAGTAGGTCTAGCACGACAAAACGCGACTAGCGCGAGGACGACAAATTGCACGAGATCTCTATGTGAGAATAGCAGTATCTCGCGCTTTATAAAATACATAAAGTTTTTTTTGAACGGCTTAATGAATGAATGAATGAAATATTCATATTTTTGCACATTAAAAATTACAATGACAAAATAGAACAGTAACGTAAGTATCATAGAGTAAGATAATTTACAACAGGCGGCCCTGTTGCTAAGTAGCAATTTCTTCCAGGCATTCTTAGGATACAAATTTACCAGCTTAAATGGGGGGTGCAACGAAAGAATATCTTGTAATAAAAGTCGTTATAAATAATTGCACTGCGCTACAGTATCATCGGTTATAGTTGAAATATGTTTATGTTACAGACATCTTCACAGCTTCAGCAGACACGAGGCGATAAGCAACAAATTCCTCCACACGCAAGAGCCATATATGACTACAATTCTAAGGAGCCACAGTAAGTTCAAGTCCTCATATTAGCTGGATTAACATATTTTATTTATACCATGGTATTAAATTGAGTAGCAGTAGAACTCCTTGTGAAAGAGTTCGTCCAGGGTAGTACTGCCACCTTACCTATTTCTGCCGCCAAGCAGTAATGTCAGCATTATTGTGTTCCGGTCGTGAAGGGTAGGGATGCTAGTGAGATTACAGGCACGTGGGACTTGTCAACTTATGTCTCAGAGTGACGGGCGTAGTCGCAGTGCCCCTCAAATCTTTGTGGCGCTATAACTATTATGGACAGGCATGTAGCTTACCATCAGGCGTACGACCTTTTCGTCCCGTCACTTAATATTATTTTAAAAAAAAGACGTACTATTATAATCTAGTCGAAAAGAAGCGTTAGGTATGAATGTGGCGGGATATATGGGGAAAGGAAGGCCAAAGAAAAGATTGTTGGATTGTGTGAAAGATAACATGGATAAGAAAGGTGTGAGTATGGAAATCACGGTTATTAGGGGACAGTGGAAGAAAAATACATGTTGTGCCGACCCCACCTAGCGAGATAAGGACAGGAAGAAGAAGTACTAAGGTAGTCACTACATTTATTAACGCTGAATCGGTTTAAGCGTGTCAAATAAAGTTTTATGTTCATTCAATCTTATTGCATTGCTGTGCGCCGATCTTAAATTTCCCATAATGTTACGTAGGATGGAAATGTCTTAAAGCTAAGTTAACAGCGTATTATCCTGTAGGATACTGCAAATTTTATTTAAAGAAAGAGGGATTATATACTTTTTTCTTTTCCCAAACTTACTTAATTATTTAATGACAGTACCTACGTACTTTAGCAGGTATGTAGGCACTGTTATTAAATAATTATAAAAAGAGCAATCACGGTACTCGTAATTAAAATCTAGTATGAATTGGATGTACCTAAACAGGAAAGTAATTAGTTTTAATTGCACGGAAGCATAGTAAACAAACAAAGAAATTTCCGTCACGCCGATTTTACACTAGTATAATTCATAGGCGGCGGCCGCGTCATGGCAAATTCGTCGCCGAGGCGATGCGCACGTATCTAGTACAGGATCAAGAGCACCTCAAGCTTGACACTTAAGATTTAAATTCAAGTCCAAAGTACAAAGTGTGAAGCTTGCCGTGCTCTTGACTGTACTATCATAATTTTAAACAATAATAACATTGTTACAAACAAAGCAGGATTATTGTCTGATTTTTTTTTAAAAGGCACCGACTACAAATTTTGCTTATATATACATAGAAACTGAAACTGAAATGTTAACAATCGGTTACCGGAAAGTGCGCGAAACCGTATTCATCTCGCTATTTTGCCACTCTTAAAGGTGGAATATTTTCTTCAAATTTCAATGGAACCAATAGTGACGTAAGCTCTTTCCTACAAAAAAGAATCGTGAAAATCTGTTCATAAGTACCGGTATAATCGCATAATATACATACAAAAAATATAGTCTAAAAGAACCTCCTCCTTTTTTAAAGTCGGTTAAAAATAAAAATTTAACAAACAAATAAAGTAAATTTATACTATCATATGAAACCCTCAATAGTAAAGTGACGCATTAGAAAAATAACATTTTTATTATATTATTAATGTAAACCAATATGTATTTTAAACAATTATACCCGCAGCGTAACAAAACCTAATCAGTCAACCTTGAAACATATTTTGCAAACATATGTAATTCAATAGGACACAGTCATACATGCTACGGATATCATTGCCGTGGGAACGATTTGTCGCTGTATTTTGCAAATATGAATAATTGGTAAAGTTGGCGAAATATTATTTGCACCAATTCGTCTTATCGCTACATCTTTAGAGTACAATAGGGCAAAAGAGTGAACTGTCTCGGTAACGCATGTGCCATCTAGGTGCAAACAACTAGTTTAAATACTTCTACGCGTTGATTACTTAATTTTAAACTTAATTACATTTATGCGTAAATAATTTGTTGAATTAGTAAGAAAAGAGCCGGTAGTCGGTATTTTACGAAATACCTACTGTGCAAAAAAACGACCTGTTGAGTAAAGAAATAAATGTAAACTTAGAATCGTATTCCAGAATTCTACTCAATGCTCAAGTCAGGATCTGAGTATGACTTCAAGCACTGGAAATACGGACCGTAATGGCGGGGACTTGAGCATTGAGTAGAGTTCTGGAATACGACCTTTAGTTTACTTATCTCAACATTACAAATTTTATACAAATACAATTACATGTCATTTTGTACTACTCTTCGAAAAGTGGTCGCCAGTTTACAAAATAATGAGAATAATAATTAGATAATAGTAAGTCATAGTATACAATAGTGTACATATACAAATCAAGATAATTAATGAAACCTTGAATTTAGGCCTTTAAAGTCTTAAAAATGTATATAACAGGATTTTATTTTTTTAACCGACTTCAAAAAAAAGGAGGAGGTTCTCAATTCGACTGTATGTTCTTTTTTTGTATGTATGTTACGCGATAACTCCGGTATTTGTGAACCGATTTTCTCCAACTCCAACTTCCATAGTGGTCCCATTTCATTTTGAAGAAAATCATCCACCTCTAAGGGTGGCTATTCACGCATGAAGATTCATTTTTATAAATAGCGCCTAACTTAGGAGCAATTATTTTAATGGTTGATTTTGCTATTTCTCCAATTCAAGGCGTTTTTCTCTCGATATACTTTGAGTAGTGAGAACCGATTTTTATTATCTCCAATGTCAAGTCCTGTATAGTGGCGAACTAGGCGATATTTCAATAAAACTTGGCAAATAGACGTAATTCCATGTACTTTTGAGGTCGGTTTTTTAGTACTCTGTACTGAGATTATCTTATGATCTATTTCACCGACTAACTCCGTAAACGCTGTTGGATAACGATATCGTATCCAAATTCGAATCGAACGTTTAACTCGAATGTTCTGAATAGCTCGGAAAGCGCCCTTCGATTCGAGAACGATGTCCAATCTTTTTTTTTTAGAATTTAATATATTTGAAGTAATGTACTTTAAATATGTATTAAATATTTTATTAATTTGTTTTCACACTACACACGCTTATACCTGTATGTATATATTGCAAAGATTATGTAAGTATTTATTCGATATAAGAGTACACACTGCAATAACACTATACACACTCATGATATAAATATTTACGTAGTTTATTTTATTTTATTATCTGTTCCGGGACGCATACGTCCGTCACTCTCACTCACTCGGCTAAGGCCCATTGAAAACCAGCGTCACAACCTAGCCTTGGTTGTGACTTTAGCCGAATGGGATCCTTTTGTACACGCCACAGCCGCACACATGTCAGTATAGTATTATGCAACTTGTTGTTGAAATGTTTTTACGCTGTTCTTTGTGTTATTTCTGTTTTAGTTATATTAGTCTTTGTTTTTGTGTGTTTTTTTTTATAATGTGGCGTTACAATAAATGGTTTCTATTTCAATCGAACGATTCGGTTAAAATATCGAAGAGTTCCGAGTTGGGGTCCTGGCTATTTGTGGTACCGTCGTAATTTCCGATTTCCGTAACATAAGTGCTTTAGTTATTTGGGATCAGAGTAATGTATGTGACGTTGTCTAATTTAATTTATAATAATCATTGCATGTATATATTTTATTAAATTTTATTTCAGTAAATAATGAGCATTGCTCTGAAATATGCCCCTAAAAAGATACCAGCGGCAATTATATTATTAAAATTGTAGCTGGTAAATAATAATGGCAAATTATTTTATTTCCAGGGACCTTTCGTTCAAGAAAGGCGAAACGGTACTGTTGCAAAAGAAGCTGGACACGTTCTGGTATCAAGGAGAAAGTTCTGGCCGTACAGGCATGTTCCCTATCACTTACGTGCAGGTGAGGCAACCAAATAGCACAGAACTTGACTATTTGACTATTTGATAAATAGATTATTCTTTATGGATGCCCGTAGAGGAGACCTCAGGCTCAGGCTTAAAGTTTGCCGACCCCTTGAGAATGACTTAACACCGAAAGTTTGTCATTTTGAACCCGGGGAGTCCTTAAAATCATTTATTACTTTTTATATTGAGTATACATACCTTACCTATACCATACTTATTTCTGCTGCCAAACGGTA